TCATGTGAAACTGAAAATGAAAATTAGTCTCAACATTTTCAGCGAACTAGACGGTCAGAAATAGATTTTGTTTAAGGATAAAACGTGTTTTTTTTTCAATTTTTAGCATTTGAGATTTTTTTAATTAAACAAATCAAATTACAGGAAATTTCAACCCATACAGTGATTTTGAAAAGAGAAAATGAAACGTTTCTTTTTGATTATGCCTAAAAAATATCTTTCCATTTTGGGGAATCTGGGGAGTTTTTTCACCAAATGAACAATTCAGCAAAATCAACCTGGATTCACACAAAGTTTTGGTGTTACTGAATTTGCATTTTGCACCAAAAACAGTTTCTCTGTGAAACTTTCTCCCCACACTGGCTGGGAACAGCTGTCAGAGCTGCTGGGTTGGGCGTTGTCTTGCAGAGACAGGTAACTAGCATCAGCTGGTCTGCTCTGTTCTCTAGAGGGTCTCATACTGTGATTGTCACTGGGGTATCTGTGTGCCTTGCGGTCATCACAGAGCAAACAAAGTCATAACCATCAGGGCAACAAATAGATCATCTACTGGTCTGTAATGATGCGGCCTCTGGCGGGACACAACTGAGAGTATCAATTCAGGATCAATTGCTTAGAGCAGGGCAGTCACAGCCCAAGGCTGGGTATCCTTTATTACCAAGGCACAGCAAACCAGCCAGACAGAGAGGACTTTGGTTTCACTGCACTGGCTAACCAGAAATCATACACTCTCTCGGACACTCCAGTTTCCCAGTATCACCACCAGCACCGCTCTTTATGGGGATGACTGGTTATGAAAACCAATACACGAGTAAAAGAAAAAGGTTCTCCCAATCCCAAAGGACCAAGCCCCAGACCCAGGTCAATGTACAAATCAAATCTTACCCACAAATCACACTGTTTCCAATCCTTTAGAATCTAAAATCTAAAGGTTTATTCATAAAAAGAAAGAAATACAGATGAGCGCTAGAATTGGTTAAATGGAATCAATTACATACAGAAATGACAAAGTTCTTGGTTCAGGCTTGTAGCAGTGATGGAATAAACTGCAGGCTCAAATCAAGTCTCTGGAACATCCCCAGCTGGGATGGGTCATTCAGTCCTTTGTTCAGAGTTTTGGTGTAGCAAATTTCCTTCAAAGGTAAGAAGCAGGATTGAAGACACAATGGAAATGATGCAGCTGCCTTTTATAGTTCTTTTGCCATGTGGGTTCTGCTTCCTTTGTTCCAAACACAAGCTACCCAGCACAGAAAACTTTAGATTTCTGTCCCTAGGCATGTCCCTGCATGCCTTGCTGAGTCACAAGGTGTATCTGCCTTCTCTCAATGGGTCAATTGTATAGTTGATGGTCCTTAATGGGCCATCAAGCAGGCTAGCTAGTGCTGATGCCAAATTGTGTGAGGTGTCACCCAGTAGCACGGCACAAGTTTGAAATACAGACAGGATAGAGCCAATATTTATAATTTTAAATACAAAAATGACACCTGCATACAGAAAGCACAATCATAACCAGGAAATCCTAACCTCCTCATAGACACCTTACTTGATCTCCTTTGTACAAGATTTGATGCCACTATATGACCTTGGTTGCAAAAGTGATCTGTATGATCACAATTCATATTAATAACATCACATGGTCATATAAATATTACAGGCAGTTTCCACGTGCTTTGCAGGCCCATGGGTCTGATTCAGAGGGAAGGGAGGGGGCAGGATATCAGGCTAGATGGGCCCGTTGGCCTCACTTGGAGTGGCAGTCCCCCCAGCTGAGGTCTCATCCTCCATTTCCTCAGTCCCGTAAAATTCCAATTTCTTGTCGACACTTTGGTGGCTGAGGAACGGCCTGATCTGCATGCCAGACTCAGGCATTCTGGATTCCCGGGCTCCCGGCCGGTCCTTCCTTCTGCTTCCACAACAGCAGCAGGGTGTCCTGGGAGAGAGAGATTCTGGGGTATGTATGTGGCTGGCAGTCTGGATGGATGGATAGATAGATAGATGATGGGTGGGTAGGTACATAGTTTGCGGTTTGGTGGATAGACGGTAGGTAGGTGTGTACGTAGGTGGGTAGATTGGTAGGTAGGTATATGGGTAGGTGGGTAGATGGATGCATAGGTAGGTGGGTCAGTAGCTGAGTTACCATCTGTAATAGAGCAGGGTGAGGTAATAGGCCAGGATGAATCCAGTCACCACGAACACGAGTTTGCAGCTGAATTCGATAAATGCCCAAGTGAGGCCACCTGATGGAGCTAGAAGAAGTCGAGAGTCTGGGATAAATCCCTGCAATCCCTGTCCCAAGCCAGCCAGCCCTCACCCTGGGGCCGGGTTGGAGCCAGTGCCCCCTAGAGGGGAAATTCCCCAGCCCCTGAGCGACCCAGCCCCGCCCTGGGGCTCTGGGGCCAGATTGTAGCTGGTGTTCCCTGAGAGGAAAGGTCCTGTGGCCCAATCCTCGCCCCCCCCAAGCCAGCCAATCCCCACCCTGAGGCCAGTTCGGAGCTCATGCACCCTAGCAGGGAGGGGCTCTCACCTGTTTCCGGTGGGCTCAGCAGTACAGTGTACATCCTGTGGGTGTTGAAACCGAGGCACGAGATCTGGGGTGCCCTGTCCCCACTCCCCATTGAGCTCAGGGTGCTGATGGCCTCATGCCCCTGGCCCAGGAGTTGACCTGCAGGCCCCCCCCATGAGCCATTCCCAGCCAGGTTCTCCCTGTCCACCTGCCACTGGAGCCGGGGCTGGGGGTGGGAGTTCAGAGAGGAGCTGCAGCTGACGTTAGGCCCTTCATGCTGGCAGTATGCGTTCAGCCTGGTCCCCAGCAACCCAGTGGCAGGGAGTCCCACAGGTTAACCATACTAATACTCAGGGGCTGGGAGTCCTATAGATTAACCTGCTAATATCCAGTGGCAGGGAATCCTGTGGGTTCTTCTGCCCTCGGGTGTCTATTCGGCTGCCCCCCAGGCCCTGATCCGGCCCCACCATCAGCCAGCTGCACTTCACACGAACTCACCTGCTTTTCCACCCTCAGTCTGGGCGCTCACTGCCCTTGTAGACGGTCCTGGAGTCCGTTCAAGCCTCAGTTGCCCCTCTTGGGGCTGCCCCTGAAGCGGCTAATTAACTATGGCACAGGAGGGGTTGGCTCTGTTTCCGTTTACAGGGAACCCTGCTCCCTGCAGCACAGGGTCACCTATGGATGCCCTGCCCTACTCCCTGCAGAACAGCACGCCCCACTGTGGCCCCACCCTGCTCCCTGTAGCACAGCGCCCCCTAGAGCCTTACACTGCATGTGCACATGCAGGGCCCGGCTGGCCCACCCGTAGGAATTCTTGGCCCAGCACCAATACTCCCCAGCGTCCCCTCTGCTGAGATTCAACAGCTCCAGGTGCCCGTCCCCTCCCTGGCCAGGGCTGAGGGACTCATGCCCCTTGGCCCAGCTCAGGATGGCCTCGGCTCTGCTCCCAGCCTCACAGCTCAGACTCAGGGAGTCGCCCTCCTGGGTCTCCAGAGACACGTCACCCTCAGCTCTCGACACTTCCAGCACTGGAAGAGATGAGCAGGCAGGTTAGGCTTCCCCCCAGAGATCCCCCAACAAGGCACTGAGATGCAGCCGCTTCTGGGGTGTGGTGTTGGGGCTGGTTATACAGGGACCCGTCACCTGGCATGGAGGTGTACACAACTCTGGAGTGGGCACAGCAGGTCTCCATTGCAGAGATAGTTCCTTAACCCATCTCCTGCCCAGTGCCCCCTAATGCCACCCCGGAGTCTGGAGACAGAGTGAACCAGGCCTGCTTCCTCCCACCACCCTCCCTACAGTCCTATGGCTTCCTTGGGCTCTCCCCTCCAGGCACGGACCAGCCTGGCCCAGCTGAGCCTGGCGCCTGGCCCTGAGCATGGGCAGAGCGTGACTAGGAGGCGCTCGCTAATTTCCGGGGCTCACAGCGCGGCCTCTCACCGGGGTGTCCTTTCCTGGTCAGGGTTCCAGAGATGCTGAGGGGCCCAGGCGGATCTGTAACAAAAAAAAAGACAGGGGAAATCAGGGGGGATGGACAACACTGGCGGAGTTGCTAGTGATCACTGAGCCTAGATATGGCCCCTTGCAGTGAGCTCAGCTGAGGGATGGGAAAGTCCCTGAAGTGACACAAGACCCGTGGGCGGGGAAGGGAAGCGACAGACCTGACTGAGCCCCACCCAAGAGGCACCTGACATAACCCAGGGGCTTGGTAAGGGCAGCGCTGGGGAACCAGAACCATGGAAAATGGAAACCGAAGGGACCAAAACCAGTGTGTCAAAATGCGGCCTAATTGGCAGAGGCACTAACGAGGTGCCGGGCTGCTTTGGCCTGGGTACTGGGGCAAGTGTTGCCATCTCGGTGCCACAGTCTACCGGGTGCCCGGGCGTTCAGCGTCCTGCTCTGCAAATGTGTCCACCCCAGAGTGGGTCTCGCCCCCACCCCAGTCCCAGCCACCACCAGGGACATCAGACACAACCCTCATGGGTCCTTTGCCTTCCCCCCTTGTCTCATCTCTTCCCAGCCCTCTCCTTTTGCCTCCTGGCTTGGCCAGCCAGGCCCAGGTATTTTGCATCCCTGCTACGATCAGGGGGGCATCTGAAAGCAACACCCAGAACAGCTGGACACTGATACTGGCTGGCCAGGCCTGGCAGGTTCCGTCCACGCTGCCATCAAAGCCCCGCGGCGCCGAGCCTCAGAGCCTGGGTCCATTAGGTCGGGGTCGTGGGACTCAGGCTGCAGGTCTTTGCAGCGTGGATGTTTCCTCTGAAGCCTGTGAAGACGTTCGTGGTCTGGCTGGGGCCTGGGCTCAGACATGATGGGCAGGGGAAGGGGCGGTGTCCTACTAAATCTCCCTTTGGCTGGAGGGAATAAGGGCCGTCCTTACAGTGAAGCCTGATTTGATACTTCGCATCGCAAAGGAAGCCGCTGATTTCCCCTCTGCCCTCGATCTGCAGCGTGAGGGTCACAGGCCATTTAATGGGGTTTGCCCTGGGCAGGGGCAGCCCAGGTTTCTGGGCACCAAGCGTCTTTAGTGCCAGACAGTGACTGGGTCCCATTAACACTCTGCCCCATATAGAACATCCACCGATCCCGGCAGAAAGGGGAGGGAGGAAGGAACTCTACCCTGACATCTGGTGGTGAATTATGGCGAGGGTGGAAAAGAACTCCAGGGGCTGATCTTGTTGCATAGGCACACCCACTCGCCTGGCATGAAACACAGCAACTCAAAAGTGGTTACTTTGGCTGGTGTGGGATCCCCAGTTT